GGTCTGAAACTGATCAGAATAACCAGGCAGGTGATAATCTGGTCTAATAAAGGACGCCCAAATAATAAAGCCGCACAATCGAGAGCATAATCTAAAAAGTTAAACGCTTGAGACTGAGCCAATGCACTTCTTGGCGAGTTAGGCAACAACAGTGCAAATGATGCGTCGTGTTAATCCACATTCGCCTCAAAAGGCAGGTTTTGGCTAACGTTATATTAGATAACTTTGTTTTTAGTTACTATTAGCTTGCGAAATATCTGACAAGAATGGGGGTCTGTTATTTCCAGACTGATCGTTTTCGATTGTTACTTTAGCTAATCCTTTCTCGGCTCATTAGCTGTAACGTTAGCCCTAAAATCGATGAAGCTCTCTCGAAGCACGCTTTTGTCTATTGCTGTGTAACGTTAACCTTAACGTTACTGTTGTTAGCTTTAACCGCTTAAGCTATTCATTTGAAGTTTAAAAAACCAAAGCAGGGTGCGACATTAAGAAAATGAGATTTTAATCAAAACAAGAGCCGACTTCATTCAAGTTCCGCCTATTTCCTAGTAAGGGTGGCAAACATTGGAAATGCACATGTCTGCCTACGGTAACCGACACTTTTCCCGGACTCTACTACAATGAATCGAGAATTCCTAAATTACACCGCAACATAAGTTGCTGAAAGAGGACATTTTCGATGTTTGGAGGTACTTATTACAGTGTAACACGTTAAGAGCGCCAAGGGGTTGGTCAGCGCCAGTAAATAGTCGGCGCCATCAAGTGGGATGAACTAAATTAGCCGCCAGCTAACTACAAAAGGAGCAATGAAATCGAATACTGCGCGTGTTAAGTAGACACATAAGTTACTTGGAGTAAAAGTACAGCTTTCCTACACGGACAGAAAAAAATACAATTCACCCAAGGAAAGAAAGTAAACGCGCACCGGAACAAGGCGCCCATCAAAACCTGCTCATACTTTTCTCCCTCTATCACCACAACTGTATCGTTAGCTGGTGGCTAACGGCTCCCTGTACAGTGAAGGCCGCAACAAATCCACACAAACGTGCATGCTAACTCCGTCTCGTAGATCACACAAAACCACGCGCAAATAATTCCGCTGCAGACACACTTACCGACAGCACCCCTTTTACAGTGAAATCCCAATGATTAAGTTATTTCTCCCAGCGAATTCTCCCCTGTTGTACTCATTAAAACAGCCAAGATGGCGCCAGTCGCCTTCCTCCCGCTCACCGCTGTCCTTTTAAAATCGGCAGGATGTTTACAGTCAAAAATGGCGGAGGAGGAGTCTGCTGAGAGGCCGACTCTGACAGACAGACAGACAGCACGCTGTGAGCGCTGAGCGGAGATAGGGGGCGCTGTGGCACAATGCTTACCACAGACATGAAAGGTGTTTGACTAATAAATCAATAACTAAATACGGTGTGTTATATTTTACAAAGTACGCACGCCAAAGACGATTAATCAAGTATACTTCTTGTCATTATTATTATTATTATTATTATTATTATTATTATTAATATAAGTGGATCCCTCCTTTTTTTAAAATTCATACATGTTATTCCTATGGTTTAAGACAGCCCAAAAAATATTAGTAAAAATGAACATCGCGCTTTCATATCTAAAACTGTGCTAAAACTCAAATTTGTGATGTCATAAGGTATGAAGTCTGGAGCTGCTCCACAGATAATGAATTGGGAGAGATGCTGTAGATGACACTGAGAGCAACCAGGAGAATGTTCTGAGTATATTGGTACATCTTCTGTTTCACAGCTGAGAGCGTTACAGTAGAATATAGCTCATTTGGGAATAAACAAGAAAACAGACAATCTGTGGGTCAACAAAATCATTGTCTAAGGAGCAGCTCCACACTTAATACCCTATGACATCACAAGTTTGAGATTTATTTGTCTTCTCTCTGGCTTTGAGAGAGAGTAGCTCATGCTCACAAATATTAATTGAACTTTCCAAGGCTGTGGAAGTAGCATATTGGAATTCTTAATTTAAATGGTGTTCCCCTTTAATGTTGTTGTTTAATATATATTTCACTTCCCACTGAGGTTACCCAATGTCCGTTACAGTGCAGTATTACCTCTGCATTTCTCATGGCTGCTGGAGCATACTCATGATATTGCATTTTTGTGGATATGATTGTCAGACTACTTCGCTCCCATCCCCAGCTGTCCCATCTGGCCTCTAATCTTTTGCAAACAACAGATCCCATGTTGTTACATTGGTTATGACCCAGACCTATTGGGACTCACAACCAGTACATTAACAGAGTGACCTAAAACAACCCGTAGTCTCCCAGTACACCCTTTTCATATCAGGCATTTTGACATATCATAGAAGGTCATCATTCCAATCAGGGGTCCCAGAGCCCTGCTATTGTGCACGCTCTCTTACCGGCATGACGCATAAGTGGAACAGAGTAATCGTCAACGTTGCAGGTACACCTGTACCTAATTTCCTGCTATAATATGGCAAAATGTCTGCTGTAAGGAAGGCTTAGGAATGACCAATTCAATGTATGTTTGATGGGTAAATCCAGCAAGAGAAGAATTACATAGGTTACACAATATTTACTCTGACCACAAATGAATACTGCCTACTCAACAAATCCAGTCCTTTGAATAGAATACTCAGTAGGGAAATGGACATTTATGCAGACTACAAAGAAGAAGAAAATAAACAATTTCCAAACAGTATATTAGATACAGAGATGAGGAGCATGCCTGACAGGGAGACTGACTCATCTAAAATCAAATTGCAGAATTGGTATGCAGTAAAGCGGATTTGTCTCATAGGTCACAGCATCTGCTGCAGTCGAACAGCTGCCAGTTGAGCATGTTTATGATTTACTAGCAGCAGGGCTCCGTGTCACTGTATGGGGACGGCTGGTAGATAACTGAGGTAGTGCTCACACATTATTAGATTAATGCTAAATTTATTTTCATTATCAGCATCACATGGCACTTGAGCTGCATGATAACACATGATGATGGCAGCATAATAACAACGGCAGTTAGCATTTAGATGTATTTAATTCAGTCAGATCATGCACATTCCATCATTGCAGCAACAGGCTCACTGGAAGATGAATAAATTATTATTCTAGACCAAATTACTGCACACGACTCCACAACTGAAAGCTAACAGATGTGGATGAGACAATAATGAATATACAAAGTTGTTTAAATTAAAACTGGATGGAGCTTTTCAATGTGTTGCCAATTTGTAATCATATTGAATCAAGCTACTTTTCCATAGGTATCTAATGTCTTGTGCAGCATACACAGAAATGGGTATACAACACATTTCAACACAATGCTGCACAGCAATGTCTGGATGATGACACAGTTTTGGGCTGCCATCTGCTGAACAAGATAATTTTAACCAGATAGCTGATTGCTGGCTGCTGTTATCATGTGACAGACATCTAAACAGCCTTAGAGGAACCAGCCACTTCCTATACTGATGTTTTTCCTCCTTTAGATGAGTTCCAGCGTACAAGGTGTGACTCACAAAGCCTGAACATCTGATTATCTCTACATACCAAAACGTAAGAATATTATTATCTTCCCAGCTTTATGAAAGAAAACATCCCGTGCTTTGGATTTGCTGAAGTGTTCCTGTGTGTACACGCAAACACGCTTAGAGGAGATGTGGGCTAAAAGTAGTGAGAGATTTTTATCTAGGCAAATACTGATTGCAGAATTAGATTCCTTTAATCCTCTGAAATGCATTGTTAGTCCAAAATGTGTCTAATCTTAATGTATTCAATTACATCACCACAGGGACCCCCTTCTACTTTCTGTAGCGTAACTGCTTTTCTATAAGGCGCTGTGTCACATTCAGTTGTACTGTCGGTGCAAACCCAGTCGCAAACCTTTTATGCTCAGGTTTTATTGGTATATATTATCAGATATGATCAGTGATGGGTTTCTTTTTTGTTTTTTTTTCATATGGCTGACTGCAACTTGAAATATGCTGCAGTAGTATGTGCTGTAATGCTGATAGAGAAGGAAGGACATTTGTCAAATTTGGCCTGAAGTCACAGTATTTAATCCAACAGTAGGAAGAGCCCTGACTGCATGCATGCTGAGATCCGTCTTCACTGCAGATACACATCTCATCAGTAGGATTAAGAGACGTTGAACTGATTTGCATAACATTAAATCATACAAGCTGACTTTTGGCATTGGATAGTTCCCCCGCAGTGCAGTGAAGTTTAACTCGTTGGTTTATTAAAATCTGTTATTTCCTCTCCTTCCATGCAACAAAGCATCTTCACATCTGGATCGCTTGTGTTTTTTTCCCCCGATTTGGTCCACGGACCATTCAGAATGGATGTGGTCGCGGTGCAACTGTCCAAATGGTTTTCCTTTTGGTGTGTCACAAGATAATTTATGCAGTGTAGGCACTGGTCCAGCTTTAACATACTGCACAGCTTTTTGCTTTTAGAGTTTTGCCCAGTTTGGTGTCTGTCCATGTGTGTGTGTGTGTGTGTGTGTTTTGGGGGTAGCAATCTCTCCTGTAGCTGTTGCTGCAGCTGAGTTGGCAGCTCTCATGCACCATGGGATCATCCTGGATAGATGCTGTTATTTATGCAGCGTGTCTAAACCGATCATCCTGACACAGATTTATGTAAACACAGCAGTTTCTTGGCATAGGATGAGGTTCACACACGCACAAGGAGGAAGCTAAAGGTATTATTTAGTTTGGCTCTCCCTCAGTGGGAGCGGTGCATAAACCCAACATGCAAAATATGTTTTGGGAAGCCTGAAAATGGGTTGCCAGCAGGTCAGGGAGGAAGTGGGATGACAAGGTGAGTGTGTCTTTTACAGCAGTGTAGATTTTAAATGTGTAACTGTACTATCTGAAGTTTGATTCTATATTTGTTTGAAGGACAAGCAGACTTACCAAAACATTTTGAAAGGACAAAAGTGAAGAAATATTAAGACAAAGAACAAACAGAGAGAGTCAGTTTATATCAAACATTTTCTTCATTGATTTTTTTTATTGTTTTGTTTTTATAAAATTCTTTTACAAAATTGTGATTTTTGCTCTATCTTTCCATTTTAATCTCTATAAAATTAGGTCTGCAGTTACGGAAGAGAGGGAAGGAAGCAGGCAGAGATTCAGTTGGGACGCAATCCTGTCTGATAAATACTGTGTATTAGAGAGAATTATGTGTGTGTTACATGTATTACTATACTTGTGACAAACAGAAGGTACAGTAATACAAGGCAGTATGTGTTAAAAAAAGTTCCTACAACAGAGAAGGCAGGAATGTCAGTATATGTGTGGTGATAGGTCTTAGTAGCATTCCAGTGTTAAACAATATCATTCATGGAGCCATTATGCATTACTGGATATTGATAAAGAAAAAAATAACCGACTATGAAATGAGAACACAGACCTGCTTCTTGCACAAGGCAGATGGGGAAAAAAACTATGAAGTGTATTTCTTTTGAAGGCACATCAATATATAACCCCCTGCCCTCCAAAACAACAACATAAGGAAGGAGAAGAGAAAAAGATAGAGACAATGTCATCTTAAATATTGCACCAAGTTCATTTCTGCAATGTGACTCTGTTTACGACCATATTCAGTTGTCTTGATAGCGCTGTGTTTAGTCATACTAGGATTGTTTATTTGCTGTCGAGCTGATAATGCATTCTCAGAAGTGAAAAAAACACCATGCAGCAACCTTCTCTCACACAAACACTCTTTCCTTCCCTTTCCCCCTCTCTGTATCACACATTCTGCTTTCTTATATAGACAGGAAATACTTTTAATGAACCAAATAAAAATGGGAATGCATGGCATTCCTTACATCAGATGAAAAAAATATAAAAAAATCATACATGATCTATTGGCACACATTGGGGTGAAGGGTACAGAATGAAGAAGCTCACCAAAATGATCATCTTCCTCAAAAAAGAGGCTGAGGCTATCAGAGGTGTCAGGGCAGCTGTGGATAGACTTCTATAGAGATGTTGCTGGCTTTACATGGATACTTGATGGACAGATACACTTTAAAATGATGCTGCACTCAGTTATAAACACAGGTGCACATTCATCAAATTCTGTTGACATTTTTCAGAGAACCAGATATGACGTATCAAGGCAGAAATAAAACGAAGCGTGGTTGTTAGTTTCTGTGTTAGCCTCCTGATCCATATGCAGAAAAACTCAATTTCATGTTCCACTGACACTTGGCATTCAATGTACTGATTTGCAGTAGATCAGATACAAATCTACATATAGAAATTGATCAAAATATTTATAAGACATACTTGAACATCCTGATTTTACATTTTGCCTCTTAAATGTTGCCCAAGCACAATGCCAATCTGAATCTCTCTGAAATGAATGGCTGTTTAAATCTGTGATTATCAGAGATACAAATTAGCAATCTGCAAAACTGAAAGGCTTCTAATTACATGTAATTATGTTCAAGAAATACCACAAATGAGAATAATTACTTAATAGAGCATTTCTCCAAATTTCTTCCCGATGCCTTTTGACAGTATCACAAATACTTGATGAAAATTCTTGTCGTAATGGTCACATTTGTTTGTAACGAGCAGGAAAAATACAGTAATCTATTAAGTATGATGCCAACTTTGACTGTGAAAGCATCAAGCACTGCTTGATACTCCTAGCTGAAAGCAGTGTTAGCCCATGTTGAGTACCTGTCACCCAAGGCTGCTGCCAAAGCTTGTCAGTGGACTAAATGAAATTGGGTCTATGGCATAAAAACAATACTTGTATATAAATATCCCTTGCTAACCCAGCCCAAAGAGATCCCTAGTTTTCACAGTGGTTTGTGTTTCTAACAGACCATTGGTTGGCTCAATTGGCAAGCTCGGGCTCCCTTAACCAAGGCAACTCTTGTGATCTTTTGTTGTTCTTCAGGCCAGCACGTATTCAAGTACCAATTCTGCCTCGTCATCAAAGCCGTTGCAAATGGAAAAGAGATGTGAAAAGACTTCTTCCTAAAATAAAAAAAGGGAATTCCATTGAATTTAGTCTCAATTTCTCCTCAGTTCCTGTGGATATCTGATCAAGTGAAATTTAGCTAGTTGTGTGACACTGTTGTAGTTTTCCAGGTAAAAAATGATCAGGATGACACACAATGATAATTTAATCAACTGAATGAAAATCAATTTTCATTATATTTCAGCAAGGAAGAAATGTGAATGCTGACCTGAAGAATTCACTACAAGATCCACTATTCCATTAATTATAAAGCAAATCATGAAAAACAAAAACAAAGCAGCAAGATCAAGGTGCTCATTCTGCACCATGTCTTTTACTCACACTCCCAGATCCCAACGCCAGTAGATAAACTTGAGGCACTGTGAATATCAGATCAATGATCATAACTCAGTTCTGTGGTTGAGGGGTTGTCGTTCCTCTCTTCACCCGCCCTGTTATTGGTTTTAATTAAGACAATACAGAGAGAGCAGTGCTGGCCATTCATTCACTGTATAAAAAAAATAGCTAAACACAATCCAAAATAGTGTTACCTCTTCATAGTCATAATTATCAATAATATTCTTTCAGCAAAAAATGTTCAGGAGCCTGTGTAGAGTGTACAGAGCAGAACAGACAGTCTTTTTTTTCAATGGGTTGGAGTTGAGAGTGGTTTGCCACTGTTGGGACACTGAAGCAGCAAGCTATGATTTTCAACTCCATGACTTTGACCACTTCTGTTCAAAGTCGAGCAGTTTTAAAGTCCTCAGGTGTCCTTCAGTCGGTGGTAGTCATAGTGTATATAGAGGGACTGTGTGCTCAGCTATCCCCCAAAACACAAAAGAGAAAGGGTAGAAAGGAGAAATGGACACAACGAATGTGGCGTCCTCCACATCTGTTCCAGTTTCTTTTTCCTCCTCTCTCCCTGTACTCAATCCCACTTGCTTCTCCACTGATGCAGCCATGCACTCATGGAAGGCTCTGCGTTTCTCAACGTGTCCGCCCCTTCGCTCTGTCTTTGTTGTGTCCAGAGAGCGAGGGGGCTTTGGAGGGTTATAGCCTCTCGATGTCCCTGTACTTTTTCCGCAGTATGGACACCTGGTCTTTGAACAGCACTGGGTCCAGCCTCATCTGAGAATGGACCAGGGGCATGGTGCCAAACCAGCTGGCAAACTTGTTCATGCAGGTCTGACGCTGGGCAAAATGGTCCGGGTCAGCCCAGCGAGACGCCCGGGAGCTCTGGGGTTGGGGGGTGGCGATGGATGGGGGGAGAAAGAGGGAAAGACACAGGCAGTGCAAGGAAGTGAGAGACTGGCAAAATGAATACTGCATCACAAATTACTCTGACCTTTCAGAGCTTATTGTAATTATTCATTCCAAGTTTTTTTTTTTACTAATTGAAGGCCAAACACATTTCAATTAGAATTTACAAATGACTACTGTGCTGTTTTAACAGCCAACACTAATAGGGTTTAAGCAGCATGATGTGTCTCCAGGCCAACAGCCTCTCCAAGAATTAGGAAAAGCATGGGTCAGACCCATGCTGGCTCTGTTTACACATGGTTTTAACTTGTCTTGGATGCTCAGATCATAAGTGGACAGCTCTAAGTGCAGGAGAGAATGCAGCAAATGTGTCCTTAACGTGTCTTGAGATTGGATCACTCAGACCAAATTTGGAGGTGTTGTGGGTTGCATATGGTCACACTGAAGGTGCCTATTCAACTGACGTCATTGCCAGATAAGCAAACTTTCTGTTGCTGCCATTACTCAGGGTGGATACAGCGCTGAAGGACCATCCCTGGAGCCGCTCTCCTTCCGCTGAACAATCAGTGCAGGTCTGTACAGTTAGCACGGGCTAACATAGCAGCAGTTGTTAAATGGTCCCAGCTGACACTGACACCGAAATGGCTCAACTCTGTCGTTAAACCTGTTTATAAGTGTAAGGGACTCTCACCCTGCCACAGAGCTCACACTCCTGCAGCAGTAGCCTCCCATGATGGTAAATAAAATGTTGCAGACTATGTGTTTATTTGCATGCAGAGCAGTGAAGTGAGATATGATCAAGTGGTCACTCGAGACGCATGTGGAGGCGCATTCTAATGCCAGGTGGGAACAGAAAAACCTAGAGTTGTCCACATGTGATTGGATCACCCAAGAGACACGTTAATACCAGGTGTAAACAGACTCTTTGTCTGCTCAACACTGAGCATCATTTTGAAAAATAAATAATTACGTACGCTTTAACAGTTAAACGGAAGGCATTTTCATTTTTAAAAGAGAAGCTACCAGGATTTGTGACAAGAGAAAAAACACCTTACTGGATATTGCAAAAAAAGTGTTACATCAAGTTAAGTGTTTTGTCTTAACAGTAAAGAATTTCCTTCAAGTTTTTGAATAGCCTCTTCTTCTTCTAGTCTATGTGTTGAATTGCCACTGACTTTCTGCATCCTTCCACTCCACACATCAACTCAACAGTGTACTTGCAGTAATTTTCGCACAATCGATGAATCAAAATGTCCCTTCTATAAGACATTCCCACTACTTTGGTTTTTATTGTGTATAGGAACTACAACAACTTTAAATATCAAGACATTTGCTATCCTGATTATTTTACACCATTATACAGATGAAAACTAAAGTAGTCTAACTACTGATTGCCCCCGAGAGCCATAAAGGAAATTAGTAACAAGTGCTTGTTTTTTCTCTTTGAAGCAGAGCCATCAATAATCCCTAACACTGTTCTACCTTCAGACATAATTTAACATGAGCCAGTTTTACAGGAAAACATTCTGTCTCACCTGTCCCATCATAGTCTCCTTGTATTGTTTTTTCTGGGTGACCTTGATGGGTGGTAGTTTAGACACAGAGGACACCAGAAAATTCATCAGGATGTCCTCACAGTTTGACATCTGGTCAACCATGGCCTTCAGACTGGCTGGAAGGTAGGTGGTGTACAAGTAGTGGTAGTATCTAAAGCAGAACATGGAAGAGAGTGAATTGTTTTAGAACTGAACTAAATGGACACTGAATTTCAGTGGAGAGGAGTTAAATATAATAAAGAAGCTGAAAGGAGTGCGTCAGTACTTGTGATAAATGGCAGCCCCAGTCAGCACCATGGAGTAGTCGTTGGTCCATTTGGACGTGTACCCCCAGCGCTCCTTGTTGCTGTCCCAGAAGTGGCTGCGGGCTGGGTAACCAACAATGCGGTCTGGGAAACTCTGCCATACTGTGAAGGCAAAGTCCACCTATACCGAGTCAGAAAGAAACAAAGACATGAAAAGAGAAAGGGAGGACATGACACCCAGAAACCAGGAACGCATTCACTGTTTTGAAACAATATGCAAGAGTTATTATACAGTTGTTAACAAGAACATCTGTAGCATGTACTCTTCTTGAAAACTACTTTAAATGTAAATTTTCTGGTAGTAGTCTGACCTCTGTGGTGGAGAGCACGGTGTCCTCATCCAGACTGAGTACAGCATCAGTGGGGATGGTGTCGTAGGGCAGAAAACGACTGCTTATTACCTGGTATGATTTGCAAAAAATGCAGACACGGTGAATAGTTTTCCCATGCAGCTCAACAGCAACAATCAGTGTATAAATAGGGCCCATATGAGCACAGGCAAGGTACATCTACCTGACAAGCAGTGCTACCAGTCTTAACGTCTGTTTGTGCTACAGGGTTGTTTCATCTTGCCGCGTTAACAGCGGAGTAAGTCACACATACAAGCTGACTTAACACCAGTGACAGCAGAAACACAGCATTTCACTGATGTAAAACCACAGAGAGAAATCTACAAGCAGCGTAGTGTTCTTCCCTCCCTGATGAGCCCTGCAGCACCTGATTTTTGGCATGTACCTAGGCAAATAACTTTGTATAACAAATGCTTATAAAGTGCTTTCCAATTAATAACATATGTGCACACTGATGTAAATGGCAATTATTTCTCAAAATATAATGTAACCCTGACAGCAGCAACCTTGTTAGCCACATCACCACTCAACCTACAGGACCTAAGCTAAATAAGAAACACTTGAAAAGAGATGTTAACTTTGATGTAGCCAAGTAAGGATTGCAATCTGTGCCAAGCCCCTATACACTGCATGCTAGTCACATCCCTGACATAATAAATAATTCTGCAGCTTTTCAGAAGCTCGTTGTCTCATGTTTCTTTAAAAACTCATGCACAGTGTCAGAGGGCTGATTGGCAAACTTTTTCACAGCAAAAAAAAAAAAAAATGTTGGTGATTGGCCTTCAGCTTTAGTGACTCTGCCTACATTCACATCTTTTTTGTTTTTGGTCCTCAGTCCTATTTTGTCTACCCTTAATATAGACCTCATTTAAATGGTTCTTTAATATGTGAGTCAGGAAATATACAGTAGGTTTAGCTGATAGTCACATGTTGGACAATCAGAGACACTCTTTTTCATCCTCCTTGTGACAATGTGATGTGATTATTACACAGAGTCTTGAGTATTAGGGCAGGGAGGCTGTAGGTGTACATTAAGAAAGGGTAAAAGAATTAATAACATTAATTATTTCCAAATTTAAACCAAGACCTGAAACTTGGATGTGACAGCGTTTGATATGCTGTGCTTTTTGCACTGATCCCATGATTTGAGGAGCGCAAAACTCCCTATCTGTTATTGCAAATTTGGAAAGAAAACAACAGTGCTGCTTGTTCAAGCCACTGAGAGATGGGCTGGAGGCAGCAGAATACACAATGCACTCTGACCACTTTAACTACTTAGTAAGGAACTCTGGGATGACTGCCGTTTTATATTTTACATCTTGAATTAAATTCAGCTGAAGGGTTTTACTGCTGAGTGTGAAATGGCTGCAATAACATTACCTAATGAGAGAAGTGTAAGGCTATTGTTTTTACCTTGCTTTCGCCTTCTATAACAATGACAGGGACTGATGTGACGGGCCAGCGGTGCTTGGCAGGAAGAGGCTTGTCGCAGTTCCACAGAACTATCACCTGCACAAGGGGAAACCACGTTAAGCTTAGACATTATGCAGAACATGTTCATAATCATTTGCATACCTGTGTATGTACAGCTAATGAGAATTATGATAAAGCAGGAGCCTGTTAATGTTTGACAATGCATGCCTGACTCATAAATGTATTTTAACTGCATACATGTCAAATACACACATTAAGGTCTTGTTTCAATTAAAAGCTCTATTTTTATTTACTCCCTATTTAAGTGGAGGACGACAACTTCCTCATTTTACTACAGATCTATTTTCAGAACTGTCACACCACCTACGGTTTCTGACAGCAACAAACTGTATTACTGTAAATGTTAAAACAAAATGTGCTGACGACTTCGTGCAAGCCATGCAGTTTTAAATACAGAAAAGAATGGATGTCACATTTTTGTTGAATCTGCAAAATGGCAAAATAATTGGTAACATACATACAGTAACATCCACTGGGAGAAGGCAGGATTTACTGTACACATGAAAACCACTGTCCCACTGCATGACAGAGACCTAGTAGATGAAAGGCTGACGACCATCAACCCACCACTGTCACCATCAGTATCTTAAACAGCTTTTTAGGTATAACTTCATTTATTATTTAGGATTTAGTTATTTGACAGCTGTGTATTATATGGTTCTGCAGGTAACAGTTTCCCATATTTCCCACAGTGTGCATCAGTATTGTGTAAAAGTATCTGCAGAGAGAGGAGTGTCAGGGTGGATCTGCTGTGGCAGGAGGGTTTGGAAATTATTTGGACAGCTTCCCTTCATCTCCAGCATGAATAATATACTGAAATTCAAAAGCAATTTTAAGCCAGCACCAGTGATGTAACAAACCTGAAAAATGACACTGACATAGAGACAAACAGGGCTTTTTTTCTGGCTTCACCCCCTTTGCTTTCTGTTTAACACCTTTAAACACTGTGTTCAAATCTCTCACTGTTTTAATTTAACATTTTACAAATAGGATAAATCTGTCCACAACTGTGTGAGAAATGTAGTGTAGTTTGTTAGGTTTTGAATTACCTGAGCACAGTACTGAGATTTGGCCACGGCCACAAGCAGCTTCATGACTGGCTGGGATTGGGAGACCAGTGGGCTCACCACATAAATGATTGCTGTAAACTTGGTGTATGGTTTAATACCTGAAAACAGCCAGGACACATCAAAAGGTAAGAAAAGAAACAATTCAAATCTGTCAGGTAAGCTTTAACACAAAAGAATGATTTTCTGAACCCTGATAACTTGTAGCATAACATGTAGTAGTGTCACTTAAACATGGAACTGCACTAACCTAACCCTACAGTTACACACAATAAGTCACAACATTAAAACCACTGACAGATGAAGCGATTAACATTGATCATGTAACACTGACTAGGTACCCGCTCCTCAAGGCAACGCCTCCCCAACTGTGTTTGGGGAGTGCTGTTGCCATGACAGGTTGTATGTGGTCTGCAACAGTGTTTGGCTGGATGGTGCATATCAAGTGGCATCTACACCAATGCCAGGACCCAAGGTTTCCCTGCAGAACATTGCACTGTAACGAGATAATCAATGTTATTCACTTCACCTGTCAGTGGTTTTAATGTTGAGGCTTATCAGTCAGTATATTTTCTATGTGTTAGTAGTAACAGCATCGTTTTTGGGCATTACTCTCATGCCTCTTCACTATCGTATTGTCTCAGCTTTAGAGCACAAAGTAGGATATCATCTCTAAGTATTATCTTTTTGACAGCTTTGAGCATCTCTTGGTTTGTGCTTGTTTACTTCAAGCTGTGTTTACTTGGCACACACTTTAACTGAACAGGTCTAATTAGGCTTGTCAAGGAAAAGGTGCCAGTTAACCAAATCCCAGTGTCAACAACAAGCCGCATATCTGGCCAATTAACCAAGCACAGATACAACATGGCAACATGGCAGGTCTAATTGGTGAGCTTCTCTGTGACAAATCATGAATTAATAAAGATATACTGCATAACTAGTGGCAATGTCACTGATTCACATGTTAGTTTACCGACATTCAACAGCTGCCATGCACCAGCTGTTCCTGTGTTGTGTCATAAATGAACATCAGTCTACCAGATCTTAGGGAGTGCCATTAAAGCGGTTCTAAGCATATAGCATGTGCATGAATAATTAACGGACCCAGCTTAGCGTAGTAGAAGGGGAAGTCTCCCAAGTATGTAGAGTACTGAGGCAGGGTGAAAAGACCTCCAGGCAGACTGTTCCACATGAGGTTACTCCTTGATGTGTGCTGCAGTACCCGGTCCTGGATGATCTGTAGAAACAGAGGAGCAGAGAAGATGCATGTTCTCTGTAAAGTGGTCAATAGGCTGCAATTGGTAAACATCAATCAGCTGCTCACAATACTGCTTGTTCCTGTGTGACTCATAGAAAATAAAAAGATCAATAGGCCAAGATACAGAATACAACTAGTGAGAACAGAACCAAGATGTCAGCCGGAAATTAACTTTGAGCCAAGATCTTCCACATCTATTCACTTTAAATTAAGCAATAATTATGTCAGTTTTATATGGTGTTAAGAAACTGAGGGAGGACACAGATCCTCTGGCACTTCTACACTAATAACTGAAACAACAAAGTCACTTCAAATACCCCCCAAAATGAGTGGTTGTCACTATGTTGTCACGTCTTCACATAGACAAAATATTAATTAAAGCACATAAACAGTTACATCAATTCCATTACTTTTTCAAAATAAAGTGGGTTGGCAGCAGCTGTTCCATAATTCCCACTCCACCAAAGCTCTAAGAAGACTCTTACAAAGTGAGAGGATACCTTAATAAAATATTAAGCATTCTCAGGAGCAATGGTGTAGCTATAGAACAAAGTAAACCCTGTAGGATACTGTGGTATTAAACAGATTCTTGAGGTGCAACTTTACCTTGTTTACAGTAAAACAGCCAGAATCCCTTCGCAGCTCACTAATGTATTAAATCTGAAGCCAAAACACTGACCTCTTACCAGCCTTGTACTATGGCATGTGTTGGAGCAGGGTATAGATACTGAGAGTGTAAACAGATCGAAGATCAGCTTCTTAAGGGTGTAACTTTAGCCGGCTGACAGTAATCCCAGCTCTGCCTTCCAGTGCCCTGACTTCCTACCCCTTGAGACAAGGCCTCTGTAACACTATCTGACGACAGCGACTTATGGTGTAAACTGCAGGCAGCAATAAGGCTTATGTGTATCACAAAAAATTGCAGTACTTGTAGAATTTAAGATTCAAACATTTATGATACAAAATAAACATCAGCTAAAAGCAAAATTCTGATACTTCTGTACCTGCCATTCTGGTAGACTACCAGCCATGATTAAGAGGTCCACTGCTGGCCACGGTTGATAGTGGTTGGAGATTTTGGGGATACATAAAAGCACAACTTTGAATGAACTGAAAAATCCTGCATTACTAACAGCCAGCCTAAAACATCCTCTCTGTTTCTCCATCTGGCTCCTTTATCCTTTTTCATTCCTCCCTGCTCTCATCTTTGCTTGTTTGTAATTCTTGCCCAAGAGCAGTTCGATAGCCTGCTGCTCACCAGGAAGAATACAGATAAATGGAGTCTGACAGGAACAAACTACTGACATGATTGATGGCAAAGCCACAGCAAGAAACAGCTTCAAAAACATGACAGCAGTGTTTAACAATATACATCATCCCTCTGTTTTCAATCTAGTCTGGAGCAGTTTTATTGTGGGCATAAAGTCTGCAACTACACAGCCTGCACTTGTAAGATGTCGGGACAAAGTCAATAACTGGGATGAACAGAAGTGAGTGGCTTGAAAAAAATCATGAATTGATGGATTTGTGCATTTTGGATTTTTATGCTTGCTTGCATTTGTTTGGAAGCAAGCATAGTTCTTTTCACACATCAATCACACAAGTAACATCTTAAATTTCCAAACTACAGGGTGCAAAACAAACAAAACCATGTGAATGTATGAATATGTGTGTGTACCTCCAGTGTGGTCAGTACTATCTTCTCCACAGAGTTGAAATAAGCCTCCCATAGGAACTGGGTCTGGTGTCTAAGGGACAGGATCTTATCCTGGTGGATGGAGCGCACTGTTGAGGGGATCTGGGAAAGAAACAAATCACGTTAGCCTATTTACCCTAAACAGAACAAAAACAAAAACCCGTCGTCATGTAGAATTACACTGGGTATTGTCATTTCATCCAAGATCTGCCTCAATAACTGTCTCAGCTGTCCTACACAGTAAATCTACTACACAGCTTACAGCAGCTGCAGGAGACGGTGGCCCAAATTCAAGAGATCAGGACTGAACTAGAACAAATATAACCTTAAATAAATGACTATGTAGCAATGATTTCAAGAGACCCACACACATTCACAATTACTTTGCACGTGCTGCGTGCAAAATGCAAACTGGAGTAAGAAGCAAACATCTGCAGACTGCCGTTGTGCTACAAATTCATTTTGAGAACAGACGTGATAATAATCATTTGTGGTCAACCAACACTGCCATACAGATGCCAGCTGTGCAAATATATTCTTTTGTTGTTGTTTTTTTAGCCGCTTTGACTCAAGTCTTGCGTAAAACAACTTGAGTTTTTACCTTTAAGTTTCTACTGTATTAGCAGCGGTACCTACCTGTAGTAGCAGCCTTTCATCCCCAATCACAGCTGCCGTATTCCAGTCGATGATCTCTGAGAAGGGCAGCTCCCAGCCATTACTTAGCATCACTGGCACACAAGCTGCCTGTAAGTGTAACACACAACATCACACACACACACACACACACACACACACACAAAATACATTGTTGGTTAATGAGATTAATTGTCTGAAAAGCTGCTCTGCGGAACCTGTGATGCTCCTGACAGGTGTCGTCATGTATTGTATAAAAGCGAACATAAATCAGTAGAAAATAATGCATTAATAAATAAATGTATTAAATCAGTGGTGTGGAGATGGATAAGAGCACCATCTGTTTGCCAGTGTAATGTCCCATGTGACATTAGTCTTAAAATATTTATATTCAAAGGGAACAACCAGACATCACCCTTGTGTGTATGTCTACTGGCAATAATGTGAAGACAGACTGGAGAGAAGAGAAAGCTGAAAAATATTACTGAATGGCTTATGCTCTGAAAACCCATGTCATCACTGTACAAGGTCCATTTCCCAAGCAATCAAATCGGGCAATTTAACCAATAGGGGCAACATATCTTCCAACACATTTCCATTAACTACAAAACTGTTGCAGTACCTTGATGACTAACTCTCAAAGTGACTAGGCAGCGCGGCTTCATAAAAATGATCATTATGTTCAGTGGAAAGGAAGATACACTCCAAAACATACTTGAACACTAAATCCCTGTGTCTAAGAGATTAATAATGTTGTACTGAGGTGTGTATTCGTGTTTGTAAATGTCCTGTGAATCCATTCAACCATTTTTTGTGTGTGTGCAAACGTTTGTGATGCAAGTCTGAGTCTATATGCATGTGTAAGAGTTGAATAGTACATGCAGCGTCCTGCCTGCAGTGACCGGCCCTATAATCTGTTAAGTGGGGTACCATTCACTGATTGGCCTCGGTCACTACACTTGCACATGCACGTCCGGGCACAAACGCTCCCGCATCAGAGTGCTGCAGTGCTCGTCTAATCTCCTTGGTGTCATTAGCAAAGGCAGCAATCTGCTGAAACGCTGCCATGCTTTCTCTACCTATCTGCTCTCACAGACAAATCAACTAGAGACTCCTGTAGCTCAAATCCTCTCCCAACTCACATTACACGCACACAGAACAAACATTCATTAATGAAACTCGCTGCTTTGAACTCCCTTCATTTTGGAAACACTTGTGTGTAACAGAGAATCTCAATGTGACTCTAGCCTACTGCTTGTCATCGCACCTGCACTGCACAACCCGATCCTGCCGGATTGCGCTCCACATCATCTGCCAAATCAGTCAACCCCTCCCCACCAACCCAGCTCTGGTTCAATCATGTGAGCATCTCCACTCCTGACTACTGCACTGCCTCCTATCAGACCTGTTAGAATACTTACTTGAGCTAACGTAACTCATACAGCATCCAAATTCTCAAGTATCTGCCTGCCCTTCCCTACTCACATAGCCAATTTCCCTGGTGTGGGATTAATAACGTTTATCTTATCTTATCTGCTGTGCTCCTGTATAAGGCTGCAAGTATAAAGACACACTAATACCTCCAGGCTGTGGTCCAGCTCTACTCTCTTGCATGTTACCTCAATGGCAGCTGCCCTGCTTTCTTTTCCTGTGTCCACCTGGTCATCAGTCCACTGTCTGAGCTCGCCTCTCTCCTCCTGGCTCCCCAGTGGTGCAATTATCTCCCCATCCCAGTCAATAAAGACTTGCTGCCTATCTCCTATTGCAAACCTAAAAGTCATCATTCTTATTCTATCTGCTCAAAAATCTCTTTCTTCCCTGACTATTTCTCCACTGCTTTTCCCAGGACTAGTGATTATAATACTTGACACAAACATAGCTCACACAAAGGAAAGTTAAATCTTGACTTTGGTTGCTTTTGCTTTTCTGATGACAAAAATATTGACTTTTCTCTCCCACTGTTATACTCATTATACTGCAAGCCACTGGAGGAGGAAAAACAGTTAAATATCTAAAATATAATTTTACACAGAGGCAACTCCAAATTATTCCCCCAGTATTCACAGGGGTGGAAAAAAATGCAGTAATTACATGTGAAATATTCTCACTATACTGGTATCCTGAGTGTGTGAAGGCACTGGTGTTATCAGTGCTAGCTACAGGATTTCAAATTCAGCACACAAGTTATTTATGTTCAGATAGCTGCTTTAATCATAAATAGCAAATACCCACTCTTGGTTTAGTCATCTACTGTTTCATCATGACATCTTCCTCACTGGATCATTCACCTACATTAGCCTGCATACAGATTAACTGACAAATAAAGCAACTTTCGGTTAAGGGATTTAATATATCTTGTTCCCCTATAATGAGGATCACCTTTACTGCTATCCCATCCAATGGTAATTTAACAACCACTGTTCCCACAGTGAAAAGTTGGGAAAGGTTTTTTTTCTACAAAACTGCCTTAAGTGGATCTGTTCATTAAAATAAAACCATTCTTTAACTGCAACTATGGTCCAAGCCTAAAGCACCGCCGCTAAAGAAGCTACAATATCGCTGTTCACCTTAAGTGAGTAGGCAGATTGTGTGAGTGAGGCAATAAGTAAGATGGGCTCAATGCCATCGGGAATTGAGGACACTTGTTGAAGACTGTACCAGAATCTTTAAAAAGTAAGTGTAATGTTCAAGAAGAGGATGACTCGAGGAGGTGGGTGAAGAAACTCAAGAGAAATGGAAAAAGCAGAACCAGAACAGAGAAGTAGAAAACAACAGGAGAGAGAAAATATGGCAGGGGCAGCAGTGAAGACACTGAGTCATTGGCAGCTGTATCAACACTGGCTGCACATTAACAAAGTGACTGGCAGTGGGTGAGAGAGCTACTGAAAGTAACTCAGTGCTTCACTTTTTCCATTCTCAACCACTGATTAATGGCTTTATTGTTTGGGCACCACAGCTTCAGTGGTGACACACTCCAAGATTTCTTGAACCAGTTCATCTTGTGTGCGGTCATTATGCTCAGCTGCCAACCCAAGTTGCCAAGATGTACGTTATTGATATAGACACTGCATCAAAAACGAAGCACTTTAAGCACATGGATCTACGTGGGCCAGTCCTTGATTTGGGGTTAATGGGTCCAAATCCTGCAGTAACTGCTTCAAAATATTTGTAATTCAGTAAAGACACAATGCAGGGTGGCTGCAATGGCACAGGAAAGGTAACAAACAGCATTAATTCAAACTCCAGTGAAGTACCAGCAGTGTTGCAGTGGTGCATTTACTAACAGCTTAGCCTAACAATAATGAGCTACATCTGTGTGCGTGTGTCACTGACCTGTAAAGCCTCTAAGAAGCGAAAAGAACCCAGCCGTCGTCCTCGAGGTACCAGGCAGAATGTGGAGTTGTATAGCATCTCTCTGTAGTCATACCTGTCGGGTGATAACGAGGAAGAGAGGACATTAGGAACTAATGTAAGAATAGGTACACATATGTACAGACACATGAAAAGACCACAAAGAATTTAAGCAGTCACACACCAGAACATTTTCTTTCCACTACAGAACATTAGTTCATATGTTTTACCCCCTGAGCCTCCAGCTACAATGACATTTCATGATAAATTCCTGACTTCAGGAACACAGCCAATACCAGGCCCAAATTTCCTGAAACAGCCTTAGTGCAGCAGCAGAGGACAGACCGAAGAGACGCCTCCTTTTTACTGATGGAATACCTGGAAAGCACCAGTACTTCCAGGAAAAATCCCATACTTTGATCCCCTCGCTTCCCTTCTCCCCACCCATCTTTAAACCCCTTGCCCTCTCACCTGCACATCTCAACATCTCTTCCTCCTTCCAATCTAAGCCTCAGTCAGCACTTGCTTGGATTAAGGAGCTGCCTGGAATTCCTTCAGTGTGATATTGTATGCATGCATGGGAGAGTGTGCGAAAGAGGGTGCGTTTCTATGTTGCTTGGTTGTCATGCATTGGACTGGGTCTCATTAGGTAGGACTAAAAATTTTTCACATTTTATTCCTCAGTGTATGACTTCTGAACAAGCATTCATGCATATTTGTGCTTGTATTTAAAACAATTTACGACCACATTTGCACAAGAATGCAAATACAGATGTAAAGGTGAGGTAATAATTTGTGTATGTATAGCTTGTATGTGTGGGGCTATTTTCCTTCTCTCTCATTTATTCTAGAAAGATTTATAATGCTTTAGGCTGTAGTGCTGTGTCTCTAAGTGTTCTGCTTAGTGTCAGTGTGGCAGTGCACAGCAATATAGCTGTAGTTCCTCCTTAGTACATTGTGATATAAAGTATGACACTTTCCCATGATATGCCTTATGTGTATCAATCGGGAAGACATTTAAGGTTTAACATGAACAATGCAGGATTTTCCTAAAAAAAAAAACAACAATATGTGCACCCCCATAATGCTCTGGCTGTGACCAGGTGCCAAACAGTAACTGATGATCCTGCATAGTGTACCTATAACAAAAATGCATACCAAAAAACTGTCTGATCATCAGTATATGCCTGTCTGTTTTTTCAATGGTTGTCATTTATGGAGCAATAAAGAAATGGTTCATCTTAACCCCAATATTTTAGGGGAATACTGCAGACACACAAGGCAGCTAATTAATTACACAGTATGAGGAATATACGTAAAAACTAAGACACAGTTGATTCCCAGGTCTGGGCCATCTTAAAAAGGTCAATACTGAAAAGCATGCATGAACTACAAATGCTTCTTTACCATACGCTTGAATGTTCCATACTGAACTCTGCTGGGTTTAGTTTTTGATCTTGGCAAATGTCAAGCGAAGGATTTTTTAATTCATCTGCTAACAAGTGGTTTCATCTATACCCCCTTTCATTCAGCAGAGACCCCAGGATGCCAGGCCAGGTGGAAATCAAATTCCCAATAGCTTGTACATAAATAGCGGGTATGCATGATTACACTGAGTGAAATAATGCTGACACTTTAAAACACTACTTGTTAACATCAAAGTGTTGTAGTGGCACAGTGTTGGTGGAACCGAGCCTAACCAGGCGAAAGTATCAAATTCAAGCACTCGCAAATTTCACTTGACTTGTGGTTTGACAAAGCGCCCTCGCATTTTGTTGGGTTAGAGGTCTACGCTATGTACGTGCAAAAACAAATTGTTGGATCTTGTTTTAAACCATCAGAAATAATTTGTGTTTTTTACTCGTCGCAGTTCGGTCTGGCTTCCAGCTCAGTGGACGCTTGCCTGACTAATATTTTTGAGGGAAAACTGAGTTCACAAGATCTGGGCTGACCTCTGAGAGTCTTGACAAACCAGTTTCTGGTGGGGGTCATGGTTGTATGACATTTTAAGTATGTCCTGCTATACAAGCACACACTAGCTTTTCTAATGCTCTTATTCCCCGCATGGCCTAAAGAGCACACGACAGAATTTTTGTCCATGATATCCAGAACAATTGCACGTAAATCACCAAACACAAAGTGCTGTTCTCTTGTTGTTCTACAGTATACCGGGGCCACAAATGAGTGCAGTGTAAAATATTAACTGCAACGAAAAATCATCATTGGTGATTATGCAATATCTATCTGGATAATCCCACTTTAGACGACACATACCATTTACAATTAACAGCCCCTACAGTGAGTTTAGAGAAGATTAACAGCATAAAAAGCATAAAAGCTACAGTTAAGCTTGATGCCATCTATAGTAATACACTGTAATGTACACAGAAATCCATTATCTACGAAGCATATATTAGGAGACTAAGTAAAGAATACTTAAGGCTTGGTAGCTTCACAGACACTGGTCTGATCTGTGCATCCATTATGAAACAATCTGATTCACCAGGCTGACTCCATCACAGATATGACAGGCTATCATTAAGTATGACAAACAAATAATCCAGCCTGAGGCACATAATAACTGACCGTTTTTCAGCCCTATAAAAATAAAAGTATAGGTCCAAATCTGGGCTTGGCTGGGTGTTAATCTCCACATCCATCCTATTTCCTGTCAGTGCAAACTCAGAAAAGACCAGATGTTGCTCTCCCTGCATACCTCCATTCTTCTCTTCTCTTCCAGATGGCTGCCTGTGGGGAGGAGCAGTCTCACAGTATGCTACCGCATGTCAGTGGAAGATATTAAGGATGAGTGTTCAAAAATATCTTCTTCGTGAACCAAATCCTGTCTTGGTGCATTTTCTGTTTTGTTTTTCCCAGATCTGTGTGTACATGCATGTACTGTAGGTGTTCAACAGATTGGTTTCATGGGGAAAAAATCTGCATAGATGTCAGAGAGGAGTTAGTCATACCCTGCATCTGACAGCACCGTCAACAATTCACTCTACATGATATGAGGTAAATCCTGCCTAGTCCCATATTTTCCAACATGCAGATGGCTGCTAGTGAGCAGAGCAGTCTCACAGTTAGCAGATTGATTATCACTGAATATAATACACCACTGAATTTGAATTAGGCTTTTTTGCCACACCCCTATAGTGCAAAACACCCAAATAAATGCTGTAATAAAGCTGACAATAACAATTAAGTCTATTATTACAACTCCAGGATTAATATGGAGATAGACTACTGTTTTAAAAATGGCACAGCAACATCACACAACACTTTGGCATCATCATCATTCCACTTCAAAATTATGGTATTATATGCACATTAGCATGAATATCATTTCACTGTATAATCTAAAACAATGTTGGTATTATATTACACCAATATGGTAGCCAGTCACCAGAATAAAATGTTGGCATTGTAAATGAATGCAAACCATGGATATGTTACATTTGAACGTTTCATACATATCATGTCAACATTTCGAAAGTGACGCAATTCAGATAATATGTATATGAACTCCTGAGGAGGAGGAGGAGGAGGAGGGGGTGGTGGATGATGCGACACCAAGGAGAGACGCCTGCCAGGCAGCAGACAGCAACAGACAGCAGACCACTGTTCAAGTCCAGACAATTTCAGCCATGATTGCTGCAACCACAGACTATAAAAAATGGACATAGCTACCATGATGTCACCCATTGGTTTGTGGACTCCCGTTTTGAGTTCGGCATTTTGGCTGTTGCAATTTAGGGGTTTTCTGGAGTCAGACATTACCATATTTGACGAGAGGGTGGCACTGTGGAGATGCGAGGGGAGGACCTGACTGAGAGGCCGAGGACACTATCAGCAGGCGGGCTGTCACTCAAAGCGGCCCGCCCTTGATTATGTGTAACTTTAAAGGGAAATTTCTGTTTATTTCAACCCGTCTCCTATCGTCCTAAATTTGTTTCAAGTGACTAGTGACATAGAAATAATAGATAGGCCGCGCTTTGGAAAGCAGAGCTAGATGATAAACAAACATGGCACCACACCGGTAAGGTAAGACAACACGTTTACATGTCATTTTCTATATGTTCTCTGACATTTATCCTAACGATATGAGGCGGTCTTTGAGGAAAAAAAGCTTGTTTAGTGGACTAACTTTGCACTTGAAGGTTGCCCGTTCACTTACAGGTCTGACGCTACTAATGCGCCCCGGCTGTATCTAGGCTAACGGCTAACATGCTAACTATTATTTTTATGTCACTAGTCACTTGAAACAAATTTAGGATGATAGGAGACAGGTTGAAATAAACCGAAATTTCCCTTTAAGCCTTAACAAAATGTAAACAGCGAGTTACATACAAAATTTACCCCCCTTAAAGTTGCCTTGAATGCTGAAATTAGCTATAAAGACCAAACCCGTTTTTGTACCAGGCTGTAAACGTGTTGGGCATTTTAACATGGGTGTCAATGGGAATCGACTGGCCTCTTGAGGCAGCCTTAAGTGGTCATTTAAAGAACTGCAGTTTTTGGTGCTTGTGTGTTGGCTTCATTTTTCAGCCCTGGAGGTTGTCGCTTGATTCCAAAGTAAAGGGATATTTTAAGCGAAAACCGTATCTTTTCCTAGCCCTAACCAAGCTGCTTTGGGGCCTAAATCTAACCACACATTACCCAAGCATTGTCACAAAATTCAACTGAAAATTAAAACATTAAAACACACCAGCTTTTTACATATCCACAACATATAAACATATAAATGTACAATGCCAACATTAATTCTGGCAATTGGGTTAAAGATAAAATTGGCAGCTCAGGAATTCCCAAGCCTATCAAAATCTGTCTTTAACATCTGTCATCTTGATTAGCCTAACTTTCAAAAAATAGATTGAAATCATGAAACAGTCAAAACAAACTGCAAAACAGTGTGTCCTACTGTGGAGCTGTGCACAAAGCTTCAGCCTGAGAGAGTGCATGTGGCGGACACATTCACTGAGAATTTTAACCTCAACCAAATCTTTAATCAAAAAGACCACAGAGTTGACATTTCCTGACCATGCAGTTGCTCTTGGTTTGAAACTACCATCTTTT